GTTGACAGACACATGATACAACTTCTGTGAGCTACACATTACTTTCCTTCTGGATCTCAGAGATCTGGAAGAAATACATCAGATCTACAAAATATAGACTCTCAGGTCTGATACAATTCCAACTTCCCTGTTAGATGGCTATAACAACAAATCTAGGATGTGTACTCAGCTATCACTTCTCTCTGCCTGTTGTTCCATCTTTGCAATCAAGCACGTGTTGTTGAATGCAAAAGGTTGTGCTTGCTATGTGTTTGAATGAATAACGTTCTTGTACGTTTAGGTAACTTGATTGATGATAAGATTAGAGCAGATAGGCAGAGCACATAGATTCCCACAAATGGTAACTCAGTGCTTTACATGCCCTATTGTGAGTTCTAACCCCTGATAAAAATTCAAACTTACATCCTTCTGCTGGCCATGGTGCATTCTTTGTGATATTCTGTATAAGGTAGGCAGTGAATAAAAAAAAATCAAATGAACATTCTGAAAGTTTTCAGTTACTTTGTAGGTTAATAACCATATGTTATACCAATGAACTTTATTCATTCACAGTAAGACCTGACTTGTGGGTGCCAGTTAGTGCTGCATTAGCAAGCTTAAATTATCTGCCACTGAGCTGTCTGGAAATCCTAAGTGCTCTAAGTGCAAGAGCCAGGGGAGCTGCTTAAACCATAAGGTAACATGAAAGAATGAGATCACAGTATAGAAATGTTGTTCGGCACATGATATTTTTGGATTGAGTTCTAGCCCAACCATCAGACTGTGGCAAGAACAAGGTGACTGAGTTGAGCCATAAAAGAAGATTTGTATTATCTTCGTTATTTGTGATATTATATTTAGTTTGTATGACTATTGCTAGTCTGCAAAAGTAAAAAGAGAAAAGGAGAGGAAAATCCTTGACTTCAATTGTGTGTTTTTCTGCTTCTTTAAAAGAACCAAAGATAAATAGTTAAGCTAACTTTAGGTGTTGTATTTTCTTCTTGGAGATTTGTTTGCCTACTAAATGTAAGGGTAACACAAGTGACAGTAAAGAACAGTATTGATTTCACACAAATTTCTGTTCTGTGCATTTGACAAACATTTTCTATTAACATATGAACTCAGTTTTCATAGATCCTTATCATAATAAGATGTCTAATAATGGAGGCTGCAGGACCAAACGTTTGTAATGAAAGGATTGAAAACAAGCATATCTTCTGCATTAAATTGAAGCAAACAGTGGTATAGTGCCCAGCATCTCTACACAAGGAAGCCCAAGGCAACTGTTTGCAGTAACAGCTGGCACTAGGAAGTGAAAGTGGGGCTGAAAGGACCAAATAAGTGCTCTATTGAGAACCTTAAATCTCATGCAGAATCCAACTTCTGTCCGTGAAACTGAGTTGTTATGCTCACTCCACCCAAAACTACATAGGATCTTAGCACCAGCATTGTGTACCAGTTGAGATCTCCTAATTGTATGTATTTGGAGTCCAACTGGTTTCTGAAAGGGACCCCTAGTTCTACATCAGGTAAAAATGAAGTCATATATATCCAGGTATAAACTGCTAGATTGAAACAAAGCTGAAGCATAAGGAGACAAAACCAATTTTTGGAAGTGAACTAGAGAAAATGAGTGACCATATCCAGTGAAGAAGAAAGTCACAGGTGTTTTCTATAAGATAATGAATTAACTTGCAGTATCTATTATTCCCAGAGCCACTGAATATTAATGTTAATCTCTCACTCAAACACAGTAACCAAAACCCCAGGTTAAAGAACATTATTAATGTTGCCAAGGCAAGCACTCAGAAGTTAAGAAATGCCAATAAATTTGTTTGTGCAGACTTGTTCCCACCCCTCAGACATGGAATGCATTATGATAGTCTTTAATTAGGCATCTAGTTCCCAGCCCCATTTTCCTTGCTCAGTGAATCTTACCTAGACCTTTTCAGCCTTCCAACTGAATGTCTAGGCATTTCTAGTCTTCTGTCTTTATCTCCCAGGCATGGTTTCTCTTTCTTTCCACCAGTCATAGTTTTGCCACAGATGACTTATTGTAGTTTACTCCTTCCCCTGCTCCTGGTGTGTCTTCTGTTCCAATTGTGTTTAGTCCTCCTCAACCTGCCTGGGTGCAGAGGGATCACTGAGTGTACTTGAAACATTTGAATGCTCTGAATTCTGGTGTCCAACCCATCCTGATTTAGGATTTGCTCTGAGCTGGAATATGTTCATTTGTATTTTGGGATGGTGTGCGTGCAGTCTGGTTAAAAACACAAAACAAAACAAAAAAACTGAGAGGTGTGAGGGGATAAAGCATACTTGAAAGACAGCATTTTAGGAGTGTTTAATACTTAAGCTTTTTCGGTGTGTACTAAGCATGTATGAACTGTGAGGTCTTTCTACAATTTTTAACTTTGCAATATTTAGTAGTTTTTCACTGGAATGGGAAAAGTACATGTCTGACACCCAGGCACAAAAGTAATTTCTTGTGCCTAATTCTCAGTCCCTGCTCTTAAGTGTTTGGGATTGATGGTCAATTTCAAACAAAAGGTGTCAAGAACCTATTAACATGGACAAAAGAATATGTTTTCTTTAGCTTTGTTTTAGGGAATTGCTGGACCATTTTGACTGATTCTTTAAAAAATAACAATAATAATTGTTATTCAGCTAGAGACAGCTATTTTTCATATTCAGCCAGAGGCAGATGCCCAGCATAAAATTTCAGCCTGAATTGATATAGTTTTGTTTAGCAATGTAGTCCATTCTTGTTATTGAACAAGATTCTTGAAGCCAGCCCATTCCTGTTTCACAATATGAGCCCTTTATAGAAAGATGAGATTTGGAACATGCAGCAGACAAGATAGAGCATAGAGGGCCAGATGTTAATTTGGATCAGGATAAAAAGGCCACCGATTAGGAAAGCAGGAAGTCCTGGATTTGGTTATTTGAAAGAAAGAAACAGGGATGAGCTGTCCTATACAGAGAATTCTTGCTAGCTTATAGATGGAGCGCTTGGGGCTGTAAGTCTGTAGTTACCAGGAGAATGGGCCAAGAATGTTGGAGTGCAGAGAGTAGCGTTGCTGAAAGAACATCATAAAAGATACAGGGATAGGAACCCTGCACCAAGAGGAGTGAGCAAAGGTTTATAAGAACCTACAACAGGATCTTATAGAGGGAAGAAAGCCAACCTTACTAGGCAACGCTGTCAACC